GTCAGACTGCCCATATATGTACATCGTTTGGTACTTACTTGCTGTTGCCCCTATAAAAATCCGTGCTGCGCCAGTGCCTACTTCCCGCTCCTGCTGATTTTGGCATTGTTGATTGCACGTTTGCTTAATTCCATCATTACCGAAACTGTATCCCTAATTCAGCCGGCTCGCCCACTTAAAGTAAAAAGCGTATTAGAAATAGAACGAGGACGTTCAAATCACACCATGGGTGGAGAACTCAGGGCAATCCGAAATAACGGCGCGAAGTTGACGAAAACCCGCAGATTTGTACCCTGAACGATTAGGTAAAAATCGTCAGATTTATTGCAGCGTTTCTCTTTTGCTACGAGAGATTCGACAGGCCAAGTGACTGCGTTACGATGTTGATCGAGGTATACGGGGGCTAGAGTATGAACCACCAATATCTCCGTTACGTGTCGACCGAGGGATTTTTTGTGTAATGTCGGCTGACCCAAGTGTTGGGCAGAAGGGGAACCTACATGGATCCAGCCCATGGTCTAGTTCTTCCGGTTCAATTCGCGTGCTATTATCTGTCGAACGACGTCTGCAATATCCATCCGTCTGTGTGGAAAGCTAGTGCTACGGTAGTTGCGTAAGATGGAGTCCAAGAACTTTTATCGCTTTGGTATTTCAACCATCCACTGCTGTCTTTGCTAATGATTCTGCGAGAATTGACACCCACACACAGTCATGTTTCAACTCAAACTACCTAGGACCGCGTTTCCTATTCCTCTGCATGCTTCGGAGATTTTGCTTATCTGATGGATGGACGAAAAGTGCGATTGTTCAAAGAACCCCACCGAAACGAGGAACAATGTGATATACCAAATCGACTGAACGACTAAAACAAATTCTACGTTGGACAAACAGGGAGAAAATGATGTACACGAATAAAGGAACACAACGTGGCTGTCAGGCGGCATAACCCCATGTCCTCGATATCTATACACGAGGACCAATTAGGCCACAAATTCAATCTGGATAACGCGAAAATTTTGGTATACGGGGACAAGAGACACGGAAGAGAATTTCTGGAGGCATG